CCCCCCCCCCCCCCCCCCCCCCTCAGCCGGTGACACCCTCTGTTTTTACAATATTGAGTATCCCTTGGAACAAGGATGCTCCAGACCAAATTGAGATGAAAAATCTCTGAATCCTTATGTTAGTAGAAGGATTTTAAAGGTTTTACCTGTATGTCTCCTATATGGCCTCGATCCTCTGCCCCAGGAGGGCCACACCGATTACCCCTGGCCTAATGATACTCCAGACCAAATTTACTCAAAATCTAGTGTGCCTCGTTTATACAATATCCGATTACCCCTGGCCTAATGATGCTCCAGACCAAATTTAGTCAAAATCTACTGTGCCTCGTTTATACAATATTCGATTACCCTTGGCCTAAGAATGCTCCAGACCAAATTTAGTCAAAATCGACTGTGCCGTTTAGGACTAGAAGCGTTTCAAAGGAAAAGTTGACCGGACGCAGCGCCATGCCATACGCTTACCGGTCCTTCGGACATTGAAAAAGTATTTTTACTACACATAGATTGATTTGTAGCATATTTCATAAGCAATAACATTTGTTGGTCTGTCACTTTAAAGCATAACACCAGTAATGTGAAGTTATTTCAAATGATCTTTTTACCTCATTTAGGACTCGAGATTTGATAAATGTAGCCAGTACTGGCATCACAGAATCTAGTAAATAAGTACATATTTGGTATCAAAATGATAAACTACACCTGCGCACCAGCATTATAACGGTTAAAATCAGCTTTAGATTAAGTTATTTTCAGGCTCTTGAGTAAGTATAACTTCATGTTCTGAGCAGCAGTACTTCAAGGAGTTCCAAATGGGCAAAATCAGACCCTAGGGAGCTGGGATAATCCTTTTCAATTCTTCCTGCAGTCTAGTAACGTTGTTGCAAAATTAATACAAAATGCTGAGTGGGCCAAAAGCCGACCCCAGCTTTGAGGGATTTTAAAGATTTTTTCTATAGAGCATACTTTTGCAAAGAGGACCCATATATGTATAAACGGAAGGCGAGCTACATAACCATGTAGATCTGGGTGAAATATGGCAACATACCTAAACCCGGAAAGGTACAATAGCTCTCGCACATTTATTACTTTGTGTGCACGTTATTATCGGACATATCCGATGTATCATTGTTGTGCCCACTAAACCCATATTCCATATGTCGCCTATTTAGGTCATTATCTATAACCACCTGTGA